GTACCACGATGCTCAGCAGTGAGTATCGTGGCTAGTGGCACCTCTGCCGTTATGGCAGAGCTGTCGGCCATTAAGAAAATGGCAAGGGATGCCCTACTGGAGGCGCAGATGAAGCCAGCGCAGTCGAAGGCCGTTGCGGATGCGATCGCCAAATACGAAGAACTCATCACGGCTCTCATGCTGCGAGTGAGCCAACTGGAGTGCAGAGTTGGAGCAACCAAGAGCTCGCAAGCGGTGCCCCCCACCACGCTGCCAACGGTGCCAAAGACGGCCACTGCTGCCACCAAGGCTGTGCCCACAGCCCTGCCGCGCCCCAAGAAGCCTGCTGATACATACTCAGCAGTGCTGGCCAGTCAAGACCCGACGGTCACGAGCGAGCAAGTGGCGGAGATAATGAAGAAGGAGGTGATGCCAATATTCAACTACCGTGTCCACGGCATCCACCAAACGAAGCGTGGGGAAACGGTGCTGCGAATGATGTCCGAAGGCGACATGAGGAGCGTTTTGAGCAGTCAGAAGTTTAAGGAGGCCGGACTGGTCGTCCAGCCGAACAGAGGACTGCGCCAGAAAATCATCGTGTACGATGTCGACACTGAGGTCTCGCCGGAGCAGTTTCTGGAGGAGGCGTACGCCCTTAATTTCAAGGAGGGGATGACCCTTGAAAAATACAAGGAGGCGGTTAGATTAGAGACCAAGAGATGGTCTGTCACGGACGGTGGCAAGATAAATCTGACGCTTGATGTGGATGAGGCAGCAGCAACCATCCTGGAGAAGGCTGGCCGAATCTTCGTGACCGGCCAGTCCTTCAGATGCAGGAAACTAGTACGCACGTACGCATGCCACAGATGCATGAGTTTCAACCACAAGGTTGGTGGATATGGTCATGTAGAATTGGTGCAATCCCGAAATTCGTAAGTCATGGCAAGTCGACTCACAACCTCCTCGTGGTATCTACTGGGTGCTGGATCTCCGCAAGGAGATCTGTGAGCGGCGGGGCAGAGCATATGGGTTACCATCCCATATGTTCGAAGAAACTGTTGGTGCAAATAACACAAATCAGCCTCGGATACTAAATTCTAATTCCCCTACGACGTCAAGTCTGGGGGCCCAACAGGAACGGAATAGTAGACTTACGTCACTACTATATCCGTGCAGTGAATGCAGTCGGTCCTTCAGTACGAAGACTGGACTGGGTGTTCACATGTCACGTCAACACAAGGATCGGTTAGATGCAGATCGACTCCGGGTTGACGTGAAAGCCAGATGGAACGATGAAGAGCTGTCAATGATGGCGAGAAAGGAGATTGAACTCACAGCAAACGGCATTCGGAATGTTAACAAAGAGCTGGCGGTGGCTTTTCCTAACCGCACTGTCGATGCCATTAAAAAGTGTCGGCAGAGGGAGAATTATAAGCAGAAGATCGCACATCTAAGAGGGCAAGATGTGCTTCTCCCTGAAGTTAACAATTCCGATGTCATACTGCGCCGCCCTAGTTCAAGTGAGCGAAATCTCCCGGTACCAAGATCAGCGACAGTTCCAATTGAACCATCTGTACATTCGGACGGAGTCCTCATGCAAATGATGACAGCGCTTCGGCCTGTCAGATGTAGTGGCCTTTGGAGAGTCGATGTCTTGCAATCTATCGTAGATAGAGCACAGACATCGGGCAAAGAAGCAACTCTCGAATGTTTATCAAATTACCTCCAAGGGATATTCCCGAGGCCGAGCTTCCGCCCAGCTCGGCGTAGTACAAATCGTCGTGTACCTACAAACAGGAGAGATTTTAGAAGGCAACAGTACGCAATGGTCCAGCGTAACTGGGATAAACATAAAGGTCGCTGCATCAAATCATTGCTTGAGGGCCCCGATGAGTCGGTAATGCCACCCAGAGAGATGATGGAACCCTATTGGAGGGAAGTAATGACACAACATAACACCTCTTGCTCAAACGCCTACTCCCCATTAAATATGGAACACTTACTAGAACGGGTCTGGAGTCCGATTACTAATCGAGATATCTTAGACTCGCGTGTGTCATTAACTTCTTCTCCTGGACCAGACGGGATAACCCCTAAGAAGGCGAGGGGGATTCCCATGGGCATTATGCTTCGCATAATGAACCTGATTCTCTGGTGTGGAGATTTACCGTTACTCTTCCGAATGGCCCGAACCATCTTCATTCCGAAGATGGCGACGGCATCACGACCGCAAGACTTTCGGCCGATATCGGTACCATCCGTCATAGTCAGACAGCTAAATGCCATTCTCAGTAGGAGGCTTAATTTAGCTGTAGACTAACGACAGACGGGTGCGCCGATAACGCGACGATTGTAGACCTTGTCCTGCGGTACCACCATAAGATGGCAGCTTCATGCTACATCGCTACACTCGATGTTAGCAAGGCGTTTGATACTATATCACACGCTTCGGTTTTAAACAACCTGGCTGCCTATGGTGCTCCGCAGGGCATGGTGAGATATGTTCACAACCTGTATGAAAAAGGCAGCACAACGCTCAATGGAGGGGGCTGGTGCTCAGAGGAATTCACCCCTGCTCGTGGAGTAAAGCAGGGTGACCCTCTGTCACCAGTTTTGTTTAATTTGATCATTGATCGGTTTCTCAAATCCTTACCCAGCGAGATTGGTGTTCGTCTTGGACATGCCACAGTAAACGCAGCTGTATTTGCGGATGACATTGTACTTTTTGCTTCCACGCCAAAGGGCCTTCAGTCGCTGTTGGATACCACTGTTTCCTTTATGGGATCAGTCGGGCTAACCCTTAACTCTGATAAGTGTTTCACTGTCAGTATTAAGGGCCAACCCAAACAAAAATGCACGGTTGTTTACCCACGTGCATTCAAGGTTGGTAATCGCGAGTGTCCGGCACTGAAACGCTCGGAGGAGTGGAAGTATTTAGGTATCAATTTCACCGCAGATGGGAGGGCTCGTTACAATCCTTCTAAGGACCTCGGTCCGAAGTTGGAGAGATTAACGCAGTCCCCCCTTAAGCCGCAACAGAGAATGTTCGCTCTACGGACTGTCTTGATTCCACAGCTCTTTCACAAGCTAACCCTTGGGAGTGTGGAATTGGGCGTCTTGAGAAAGACAGATACGTTAGTGCGCAGCACAGTTAGGAGGTGGTTGGGCCTTCCTAACGACGTGTGCAACGCATTCTTTCATGCATCCCTCAACGATGGGGGTCTAGGTGTTCCCTCTTTAAGGTCAATAAGCCCAGCATTGCGACTTATAAGGCTCAGCAATGTGACCTGGTCATTCTCCCGGCAGCAGGAGGTGGCCAATAAATTTCTGGACGAAGAGAAGAAGAGGGCCCTTGATAGATGTAAGATGCATGAAGGAATCGTTGACACACGTCAAAAATGTGATGTCTACTGGGCGAACAAGCTGCAATTCTCTGTTGACGGTAAAGGTTTGAGCGAAGCAGCGCGCTACAAACCACAGAATCGATGGGTTGGTGCACCCACGCGTTTACTTACGGGAAAGGCTTATCATGAAGGAATCAAATTGCGGATTAACGCGCTTCCTACGCGGTCTCGTACCACACGGGGAAGGCGCGAACAGGGGAGGCAGTGTCGTGCGGGGTGTGATGCTCCCGAAACATTAAATCACATCCTACAACAGTGCTACAGAACGCATGGGAGGCGTGTAGCTAGACACAACAGTGTAGCGGATTTCGTCAAGCGAAAGCTTGAGGGGAAAAACTACACTGTCTTGGCCGAACCTGTGCTGCGAGGAGATTCTGGGATTGGTAAGCCGGACTTAGTGGCAAGTCGAGGTGATCACACAATAGTGATCGATGTACAGGTTGTGACGGACGGCATATCTTTGGACGGAGCTCACGCGAGCAAAGTCCACAAATACAATCGTCAAGACTGGATAGAAAGCTTGCGGCGTGACTACCAGGCACATGTGAACATCGAATTTGCAACCGTAACACTAAACTGGCGGGGCATCTGGAGCGGTCATTCCATAAAAGGTTTGATCGCTCTAGATGTCTTAAACGCTGATGATAGCAATATCATCAGTGCCAGAGTAGTTTCGTGCGGAGTTTTCGTCTTCAAGACCTTCATGTATCACTCCGGTTATTAGGAGTGACCGTGTCGGTTATTCACGTTTCTACAGATGCTTGCTACCTTGGCATAACACCCAAACAAGGTATAAAGTAAAAACGGAATTCGGTCCTAACACCTGTCGTCACTACTAAGTACCAGAAACCTACTGGTATGCGGTGGTGTAGGCGCTGGAAGGACCAGACAAAGGTGACATTCCGGGTTAAAAAAAAAAAAAAAAAAAAAAAAAAAATAGCCAAATGCCTCGTCATCTAATTAGTGACGCGCATGAATGGATTAACGAGATTCCTACTGTCCCTATCTACTCCCCTGTGCGATAGCGGGGCTTAGAATTCTATCGCAGTATGTCAACGCTTGTTGTACGAGGCGACTAAGGTAGACAAACAGAGGTGCTTAGATACACTTCGCTCCTGATCCAAGGGTCCGACAAACATGCATCCCAAATTGGTACTGGCGAAGCTCCCACTGTATTTGCTGGTGGTTGTTAGCTGGGGCGGTGGTTTAGCGCATTGTTCTAAACACGTGCACTAGATACGGTCTTGTGTACATACACACTCGTGTGTATGCACACTTGTCTGTATTAGAGTGCTGTGGTTGTAAACCCTTCAGTGTGGTACACGCCACATAAAACAAATTAGGAGTGATCCTGGTTCAATTCTGTCCCTATCTACTCAGTTTGCTTTAGACGGTCGTCGCGAGCGGACGTGTGATTTTGGTGCGCGCATCGTATTTTTTTAACAGTGAGTTTGCTTATCAGCAACTGCTTATCTGACCAATCAGCGACAAGTAAACAAGTTGTTTACTTGTTTACGACAAACAGCGTTCTAAAAATAGAACAGAGCAGATAAGAGACTGCATTAGTGTGTGTACGTGTAAGTGCACTCGTGAAAAACAAAAACTGAGAGCACCAACATGGTGCGAACCCGGTCGAATAGCCGGTGCAGCAACAACAACAACAGTTGTAATGACGTGGAGATGGCCGATGACCATCTCCATGAGCGGGACAATAACCGAGGAGGTGGTAAAGCCACTCGCGAGCGATCTAAAACGCGCAAGTCTGGTGTCAGAGGGCTGAACACGGCGTCGCCAGCGGATTGCGAGGCAGAGGATGTTTCGCCAACCAAGAAGAGGATAAAGGAGAAGGCAGGTGTAGCAGCCTCCTCCTCCTCGTCCCCTGACTTGGATGACGGAGCAACTGCGTCGCAATGGGTTGCCGACGTCGCTGCCGCCAACTCTGCTGCCAACGCTGTCGCCGTCGACAGCGCCGTCGCGAGAAGTACCGCGTCACTCGCTGCCGACATAGCCGCCGGCACAAATGCCGAGGGAGTTTCCGCGAAGCCGGCCACTGACGCCGCTGCCGCCACCGCTGCCGCCGCGAAACTGGCTACTATAGCCGACGCCGCCGTCGCGAAGCCCACAATGGAGGCTGTTTTTAAGAAGCCACTGGCACCGACCACCGTCGCGAGGTCGTATGCCGCAGTCGCAGAGAGGGCGCTGCCCGCTGCCGGAGCCATTCTGCCGCCATGCGCTGCTGCGACGTATGCAGCCGCTGCTGCGAGCGCTGACGTCCCCCCTGCTGCTCCCGCTGTACCACGATGCTCAGCAGTGAGTATCGTGGCTAGTGGCACCTCTGCCGTTATGGCAGAGCTGTCGGCCATTAAGAAAATGGCAAGGGATGCCCTATTGGAGGCACAAATAAAGCCAGCGCAGGCAAAGGCCGTTGCGGATGCGACCGCCAAATACGAAGAACTCATCACGGCTCTCATGCTGCGAGTGAGCCAACTGGAGTGCAGAGTTGGAGCAACCAAGAGCTCGCAAGCGGTGCCCCCCACCACGCTGCCAACGGTGCCAAAGACGGCCACTGCTGCCACCAAGGCTGTGCCCACAGCCCTGCCGCGCCCCAAGAAGCCTGCTGATACATACTCAGCAGTGCTGGCCAGTCAAGACCCGACGGTCACGAGCGAGCAAGTGGCGGAGATAATGAAGAAGGAGGTGATGCCAATATTCAACTACCGTGTCCACGGCATCCACCAAACGAAGCGTGGGGAAACGGTGCTGCGAATGATGTCCGAAGGCGACATGAGGAGCGTTTTGAGCAGTCAGAAGTTTAAGGAGGCCGGACTGGTCGTCCAGCCGAACAGAGGACTGCGCCAGAAAATCATCGTGTACGATGTCGACACTGAGGTCTCGCCGGAGCAGTTTCTGGAGGAGGCGTACGCCCTTAATTTCAAGGAGGGGATGACCCTTGAAAAATACAAGGAGGCGGTTAGATTAGAGACCAAGAGATGGTCTGTCACGGACGGTGGCAAGATAAATCTGACGCTTGATGTGGATGAGGCAGCAGCAACCATCCTGGAGAAGGCTGGCCGAATCTTCGTGACCGGCCAGTCCTTCAGATGCAGGAAACTAGTACGCACGTACGCATGCCACAGATGCATGAGTTTCAACCACAAGGTGGCGGAGTGCAACGCCACCACGGCGTGTCGACAATGTGGGGAGACCGGCCACATTGCGGCCAAATGCAACAAGCCGGCGGACTGCCGCAACTGCCGCATGAAAGGGCATCCTTCGGGGCATCGCACGCTCTCGGACGCATGTCCGATATATGAGTGTTGTGGTAGTAAACCCTTTGTTGTGGTACACGCCACATAAAACAAATCCCGGAGAGATCCGTGACGAATGTCCCTATCTACTCAGTTTGCTTTTGACAGTCGTCGCGAGCGGACGTGTGAATCGAGTGCGCGCATAGTTGAGTGTATTAGTTTGCTGATAAGCAGCTAACGGTAAAAGTGCCCGTACATCGTAAAAAACTTGTTTACGAAAACAAGTTGTGCTAAAAATAGACTCAGCTGATAAGAAGCTGCGCTAAAGTGTGAAAACTGAGCGTAAATTACAAATTTACGAGCCACACTAGTGAAACACTAGTAGCCGCTCTGGCAGTACGAGCGACGCAAGTGACGTGAGTATGACTGGTGGTTCTGCCCGTCGCGGTCGCTCCCGCCAAAAAGCCGCGTCGACGCCAGACTTATATGGTGACGTAGAGGTGACGTCGGCCAAGAAAAGGGTCAAGGAGAAGGCCAGCATTATAGCTGCCCCCTCCGTATCCCTTGCCATGGCCTCCGGCGCTACGTCATCGCAGTGTGCCGTTCCCGTGGTCGCCGAGACCGAAAATGACGTAGCAACGACGTCATCCGCTGTCGCAGCCGCAGCCGCAGCCGCGATCGCTGCCAACGTCGAGAAGCCTTCGTATGCTGCCTCTGCCGCCGTCGCGAGAGCGCTGCCAGCGTTGTCCGCTGCAAATGTTGCTCTGCCGCCTCCCACAGTCGCTACGTACGCAGGCACTGCTGCGAGCGCTGCCACCTCCGCTGTTCCGGCTGTACCGCGGTGCTCTGTCGAGAGCATCGTGGCTGGTGGCAGCTCTGCAATACAAGCAGAGCTGTCCCGCATCAAGCGGCAGGTGCGCAATGCAGTGATGAGGGCGCGCATGGAGCCGGATGCTGCCATAGATGTTATGGACGCCGCAGCCAAATATGATGATTTGGTGATGTCGCTCATGATTCGAGTCGCGCTTCTCGAGGAAAAAACAAGGAGCAACATTATGCCACCACCAGCTGCGCCCACTTATGCTGCCCAAGTAGCGCAGACCCATGGGGCCATGTATACCGGATATGCAATAATAGGCGCAGAGGAAACGCCGAGATAGGGTCGCTTCGGGCCAATGGCGAGACAGTCGTTTCATGGAACGACTGTGCGCGAGTGCTCCTCCGCAACTTTTTCCCAGTTGCGGAGTCCAGAGCTCCCATAGCCATTGCCGAAGTTGCCCCTCCAGCTCTCGAGGTTTCGGAGGTGTCTGCGTGCATTGCGCGGTTGAGGAGCAGGCGATCGCCAGGACTGGATGGGATCACTGGAGCGGTTGCAAAGGCGGTCTGGAGAGCTATCCCCCAGCACTTGGCAGCGTTGTATTCCCGCTGTTTAGCAAGTGGATACTTCCCGGAAGAGTGGAAGCGGCCACGTGTGGTCGCTTTGCTCAAAGGGCCTGATGGGAACAGGAGCGATCCTGCTTCCTATCGAGGTATCTGCTTGCTGCCGGTGTTCGGTAAAGTGCTGGAGGCGATCATGGTGGACCGTCTCAAGGAGGCAGTGCCGGAAGGCTGCAGATGGCAGTTCGGCTTTAAGCCAGGACGCTGCGTGGAGGACGCGTGGAGGCACGTGACAAGCACGGTCGCGGCCAGCCCGGCCCGATATGTGCTTGGAATCTTCGTTGACTTCAAAGGAGCCTTCGACCACTTGGAGTGGAGTTATGTGATGCGCCGACTGGACGACGCGGGATGCCGGGAAATTAGCTTGTGGCAGAGCTACTTTTCTGGCAGGAGCGCGTCCATGCTGAGTAAACATGGAGAGGAGACTGTGTCGGTAACTCGAGGTTGCCCACAGGGGTCCATTAGCGGTCCATATATCTGGAACCTAGCAATGGACGTGTTGCTGAGGAGACTGGAGCAGGAGTGCACCTTCAGCGCCTATGCTGATGACCTGCTAATCCTCGTCGAGGCGAACGCGAGACGCGCGTTAGAAGAGGAGAGCGAGCGACTGATGAGCATCGTCGGAGAGTGGGGTGCCGAAACAGGCGTTTCGGTATCCACCACCAAGACGCATATCATGTTGCTGAAAGGTACTTTGGCACACAGCAGACCTCCCTGGGTACGTTACCGGGGGATGGCTCTGCCGTACGTGCCCTGCACAAAGTACCTGGGCATTATGGTCGGCGAGCGGATGAGCTTCATGCCGCACATAATGTCCCTACGCGGGAAGATGCTGGGCATCGCGGGAAGACTGGCGCGAGTGCTGCGCGTGGACTGGGGACTCAGTCCAGAGGCCAAGAGGACGATTTATGCGGGACTAATGATACCGTGCGCACCGTTTGGTGCGTCGGTATGGTACCGACAGGCAGGGCAGGTTGCGCCCAAGAGGCGCCTCATGTCCTGCCAAAGAGTGACGCTACTGGCAACACTGCCAGTGTGTCGCACTGTGCCAACGGCTGCGCTACAGGTGCTGGCAGGAGCCGCAGCATTTGACTTGGTTGCCAAGCAATTGGCAATCATGTTCAAACAGCGCAAGGGCTACCCGCTGGAGGAGGGAGAGTGGCTGCACGGCCAGGACTTGGCGGATGTGGATAGGAGGCAGAGGAAGGCGCTGCTAGACGAATGCCTGCTACGTGAGTGGCAGCTCCGATGGGATGACGACGGTGAGTGCGGGCGCACGACCCATCGTTTTTTCCCAGACGCAGGCTTCGTCTACAGTCGCAGGAGCTACAGGTTCAGCCTGCGTGCTGGATTCCTGATGACGGGCCATGGCTCGATGAACGAGTTTCTGCACAGAAGAGGCATCGCTGATGCGCCTGCAGGCTCATGCGGCGCTGAGGAGGAGGATTGGCTGCACATCTTGTGTGTATGCCCGCTGTACGCGGATCTTCGTGACCTCGCAGGACTCGGGATTGAGTGGAGGAGCGGCATCTGGAGGGTGTCTGGTGTGACGGAGACGCCAGAGAGGATGCAGAGGCTGGAGGCGTTCGCTGACGCTGTGTTCGCACGGCGTCGGCAACGTGATGAACAGTCGGTGAATATTGGGCTGCCAGTCCCGGGCTAAAATCAGCCAAAACTGACACCTCCCCCGTGTGATGGCGGGGCTTAGAATACCATCTCAGCGGTCACGGCTTGTCGTATGAGGCGACTGATGTGGCAAAAAGCTGGTTAACCCATCCGTGCTGTCGGGCAAAAGGGCCAGGGCTCACCGAGTCCTACTCATGCCGCTGTTCAGGGCGGTATGAGTTGAAGTTTCGGTACTACGGGTTGGGGAGTTCTCCAAGGGCTCCCCATTGAGGTAGGCCCCTTGTGGGAGTATCGTAGTGGCTGTGGTTGTCACCTACATCGCGGGTAGAGTATTGGCTTCGGCCTTTATTCGGCGTGGAGTTGCGTTTTCCAACCGGGCGCTGCGACCCTGAGAGCAGCAGAGGTGTTTAGATGCACTTCGCCTCCCATCCAAGAGGGGGATATATGCCCGACAAGCATATATCCCGAATTGGTACTGGCGAAGCTCCCACTGTATTTGCTGGTGGTTGTTAGCTGGGGCGACTGGTTTGGCGCATCGTACCAAAACCCGTGCACTGTAGTCGGTCTTGTGTACATACACACTGTGAATGCAGTGTGTATGCACACTTGTCTGACTTGAGTGTTGTGGTAGTAAACCCTTTGTTGTGGTACACGCCACATAAAACAAATCCCGGAGAGATCCGTGACGAATGTCCCTATCTACACAGTTTGCTTTAGACGGTCGTCGCGAGCGGACGTGTGAATCGAGTGCGCGCATAGTTGAGTGTATTAGTTTGCTGATAAGCAGCTAACGGTAAAAGTGCCCGTACATCGTAAAAAACTTGTTTACGAAAACAAGTTGTGCTAAAAATAGACTCAGCTGATAAGAAGCTGCGCTAAAGTGTGAAAACTGAGCGTAAATTACAAATTTACGAGCCACACTAGTGAAACAATTATGAGTGTCCGTAGCCGCTCCGGCAGTACGAGCGACGCAAGTGACGTGAGTATGACTGGTGGTTCTGCCCGTCGCGGTCGCTCCCGCCAAAAAGCCGCGTCGACGCCAGACTTATATGGTGACGTAGAGGTGACGTCGGCCAAGAAAAGGGTCAAGGAGAAGGCCAGCATTATAGCTGCCCCCTTCGTATCCCTTGCCATGGCCTCCGGCGCTACGTCATCGCAGTGTGCCGTTCCCGTCGCGGTCGCCGTTCCCGTGGTCGCCGAGACCGAAAATGACGTAGCAACGACGTCATCCGCTGTCGCAGCCGCAGCCGCAGCCGCGATCGCTGCCAACGTCGAGAAGCCTTCGTATGCTGCCTCTGCCGCCGTCGCGAGAGCGCTGCCAGCGTTGTCCGCTGCAAATGTTGCTCTGCCGCCTCCCACAGTCGCTACGTACGCAGGCACTGCTGCGAGCGCTGCCACCTCCGCTGTTCCGGCTGTACCGCGGTGCTCTGTCGAGAGCATCGTGGCTGGTGGCAGCTCTGCAATACAAGCAGAGCTGTCCCGCATCAAGCGGCAGGTGCGCAATGCAGTGATGAGGGCGCGCATGGAGCCGGATGCTGCCATAGATGTTATGGACGCCGCAGCCAAATATGATGATTTGGTGATGTCGCTCATGATTCGATTCGCGCTTCTCGAGGAAAAAACAAGGAGCAACATTATGCCACCGCCAGCTGCGCCCACTTATGCTGCCCAAGTAGCGCAGACCCATGCCACCCAGGTGGTCCCAACGCCCCTACCGCGCCTTGGCAAGAAGCCGGTCGAGACATATTCGGCCATAGTTGCCAGCCGGGACCCCAGCGTCTCGACGAAGGAGATCATAGAAAAAATGAAGAGCGAGGTGATACCGGATGTACGCATACGCATACACGGAATGCATGAGACGAAGCGAGGCGAAGTCATTCTGCGCACACCGTCGGATAAAGAGATGTGGCAGGCAGTTACGCATAAAAAGTTTAAAGAAGCCGGATTAACCATCCAGCCCAACAAGCCGCCGCGACCCAGGATGACGGTATACGATGTGGACACATACATATCGCCGGAGGAGTTCCTGAAGGAGATGTATGCGCTGAATTTTAAAAATGAGCTCTCGCCAAGCGCCTTCGAAAAAGCCGTCCACTTGGAGACTAAGAGGTGGTCAGTTATGGATGGAGAGACGGTGAATTTGACGATAGAATTAGACGAAACAGCAGCAGCCATCATACAAAGGACCGACAAGGTGTATATCACACACCATGCATACAGGTGCCGTAGGCTTATACGCACGTATGCCTGCCACAGGTGCGTCAGTTTCGACCATAAAGTGTCGGAATACCGCGCAACTGTGGTTTGCCGCCGGTGTGGAGAGACCGGCCACACAGCATTATTTAATACGATACAATGTTTGTTTAATGAAAGAGTGAGAATGAAAATAATAAACTCGGTTTACATCGTTTAACGTCAAATGAAAAATGCATTCGTCGTCTTTTGCTCCACACGTCTGTCGAGTTCAACCTCTTTGTAACGACTGCTGGACGTCTTCCTGATATATACTCGAACCTTGAAAATTTATGGTGGGGACACGCAAACTTCTCAACAGGCTGTACCAATGTCCGAAGCTGGTCTCCAAGGTGAAGAGTCTCTAGTCGATGGAATAATGTAGGTAAGGGAAGTCGGCAAATTAGATCCGTAACTTCGGGATAAGGATTGGCTTTGAAGATTGAGATAATCGAGCTTTACTGGGAAACAATAGCATGGCTTATGTTCTCGTTCTGGGTAAATAGAATTTCGATTATTTTTAATGATCGTCATTTGTTCCCCGGATTGTTAGTTACGTAGCCAATTGTGGAACTTTCTTGCTTAAATTTTTAAGAATACTAATCTGGAGGGGTTAAACCTTTCAGTGTTAGCTCTTTTAAATTATAACGATTATCAATTAACAATCAATTCAGAACTGGCACGGACTTGGGGAATCCGACTGTCTAATTAAAACAAAGCATTGTGATGGCCCTAGCGGGTGTTGACACAATGTGATTTCTGCCCAGTGCTCTGAATGTCAACGTGAAGAAATTCAAGTAAGCGCGGGTCAACGGCGGGAGTAACTATGATTCTCTTAAGGTGGATATGGTCATGTAGAATTGGTGCAATCCCGAAATTCGTAAGTCATGGCAAGTCGACTCACAACCTCCTCGTGGTATCTACTGGGTGCTGGATCTCCGCAAGGAGTTCTAGTAGCAAATGTGAGCGGCGGGGCAGAGCATATGGGTTACCAGCCCATATGTTCGAAGAAACTGTTGGTGCAAATAACGTAAATCAGCCTCGGATACTAAATTCTAATTCCCCTACGACGTCAAGTCTGGGGGCCCAACAGGAACGGAATAGTAGACTTACGTCACTACTATATCCGTGCAGTGAATGCAGTCGGTCCTTCAGTACGAAGACTGGACTGGGTGTTCACATGTCACGTCAACATAAGGATCGGTTAGATGCAGATCGACTCCGGGTTGACGTGAAAGCCAGATGGAACGATGAAGAGCTGTCAATGATGGCGAGAAAGGAGATTGAACTCACAGCAAACGGCATTCGGAATATTAACAAAGAGCTGGCGGTGGCTTTTCCTAACCGCACTGTCGATGCCATTAAAAAGTGTCGGCAGAGGGAGAATTATAAGCAGAAGATCGCACATCTAAGAGGGCAAGAAGTTAACAATTCCGATGCCATACTGCGCCGCCCTAGTTCAAGTGAGCGAAATCTCCCGGTACCAAGATCAGCGACAGTTCCAATTGAACCATCTCTACATTCGGACGGAGTCCTCATGCAAATGATGACAGCGCTTCGGCCTGTCAGATGTAGTGGCCTTTGGAGATTCGATGTCTTGCAATCTATCGTAGATAGAGCACAGACATCGGGCAAAGAAGCAACTCTCGAATGTTTATCGAATTACCTCCAAGGGATATTCCCGAGGCCGAGCTTCCGCCCAGCTCGGCGTAGTACAAATCGTCGTGTACCTACAAACAGGAGAGATTTTAGAAGGCAACAGTACGCAATGGTCCAGCGTAACTGGGATAAACATAAAGGTCGCTGCATCAAATCATTGCTTGAGGGCCCCGATGAGTCGGTAATGCCACCCAGAGAGATGATGGAACCCTATTGGAGGGAAGTAATGACACAACATAACACCTCTTGCTTAAACGCCTACTCCCCATTAAATATGGAACATTTACTAGAACGGGTCTGGAGTCCGATTACTAATCGAGATATCTTAGACTCGCGAGTGTCATTATCTTCTTCTCCTGGACCAGACGGGATAACCCCTAAGAAGGCGAGGGGGATTCCCATGGGCATTATGCTTCGCATAATGCACCTGATTCTCTGGTGTGGAGATTTACCGCTACTCTTCCGAATGGCCCGAACCATCTTCATTCCGAAGATGGCGACGGCATCACGACCGCAAGACTTTCGGCCGATATCGGTACCATCCGTCATAGTCAGACAGCTAAATGCCATTCTCAGTAGGAGGCTTAATTTAGCTGTAGACTTGGATCCGAGGCAACGAGGATTCCAGCCGACAGACGGGTGCGCCGATAACGCGACGATTGTTGACCTTGTCCTGCGGTATCACCAGTTTTGTTTAATTTGATCATTGATCGGTTTCTCAAATCCTTACCCGGCGAGATTGGTGTTCGTCTTGGACATGCCACAGTAAACGCAGCTGTATTTGCGGATGACATTGTACTTTTTGCTTCCACGCCAAAGGGCCTTCAGTCGCTGTTGGATACCACTGTTTCCTTTATGGGATCAGTCGGGCTAACCCTTAACTCTGATAAGTGTTTCACTGTCAGTATTAAGGGCCAACCCAAACAAAAATGCACGGTTGTTTACCCACGTGCATTCAAGGTTGGTAATCGCGAGTGTCCGGCACTGAAACGCTCGGAGGAGTGGAAGTATTTAGGTATCAATTTCACCGCAGATGGGAGGGCTCGTTACAATCCTTCTAAGGACCTCGGTCCGAAGTTGGAGAGATTAACGCAGTCCCCCCTTAAGCCGCAACAGAGAATGTTCGCTCTACGGACTGTCTTGATTCCACAGCTCTATCACAAGCTAACCCTTGGGAGTGTGGAATTGGGCGTCTTGAGAAAGACAGATACATTAGTGCGCAGCACAGTTAGGAGGTGGTTGGGCCTTCCTAACGACGTGTGCAACGCATTCTTTCATGCATCCCTCAACGATGGGGGTCTAGGTGTTCCCTATTTAAGGTCAATAAGCCCAGCATTGCGACTTATAAGGCTCAGCAATGTGACCTGGTCATTCTCCCGGCAGCAGGAGGTGGCCAATAAATTTCTGGACGAAGAGAAGAAGAGGGCCCTTGATAGATGTAAGATGCATGAAGGAATCGTTGACACACGTCAAAAATGTGATGTCTACTGGGCGAACAAGCTGCAATTCTCTGTTGACGGTAAAGGTTTGAGCGAAGCAGCGCGCTACAAACCACAGAATCGATGGGTTGGTGCACCCACGCGTTTACTTACGGGAAAGGCTTATCATGAAGGAATCAAATTGCGGATTAACGCGCTTCCTACGCGGTCTCGTACCACACGGGGAAGGCGCGAACAGGGGAGGCAGTGTCGTGCGGGGTGTGATGCTCCCGAAACATTAAATCACATCCTACAACAGTGCTACAGAACGCATGGGAGGCGTGTAGCTAGACACAACAGTGTAGCGGATTTCGTCAAGCGAAAGCTTGAGGGGAAAAACTACACTGTCTTGGCCGAACCTGTGCTGCGAGGAGATTCTGGGATTGGTAAGCCGGACTTAGTGGCAAGTCGAGGTGATCACACAATAGTGATCGATGTACAGGTTGTGACGGACGGCATATCTTTGGACGGAGCTCACGCGAGCAAAGTCCACAAATACAATCGTCAAGACTGGATAGAAAGCTTGCGGCGTGACTACCAGGCACATGTGAACATCGAATTTGCAACCGTAACACTAAACTGGCGGGGCATCTGGAGCGGTCATTCCATAAAAGGTTTGATCGCTCTAGATGTCTTAAACGCTGATGATAGCAATATCATCAGTGCCAGAGTAGTTTCGTGCGGAGTTTTCGTCTTCAAGACCTTCATGTATCACTCCGGTTATTAGGAGTGACCGTGTCGGTTATTCACGTTTCTACAGATGCTTGCTACCTTGGCATAACACCCAAACAAGGTATAAAGTAAAAACGGAATTCGGTCCTAACACCTGTCGTCACTACTAAGTACCAGAAACCTACTGGTATGCGGTGGTGTAGGCGCTGGAAGGACCAGACAAAGGTGACATTCCGGATTAAAGAAAAAAAAAATAGCCAAATGCCTCGTCATCTAATTAGTGACGCGCATGAATGGATTAACGAGATTCCTACTGTCCCTATCTACTCAGTTTGCTTTAGACGGTCGTCGCCAGCGGACGTGTGATTTTGGTGCGCGCATCGTATTTTTTGGAGAGTGAGTTTGCTTATCAGCAAGTGGTTATCTGAAGTGACCAATCAGCGACAAGTAAACAAGTTGTTTACTTGTTTACGACAAACAGCGTTCTAAAAATAGAACAGAGCAGATAAGAGACTGCATTAGTGTGTGTACGTGTAAGTGCACTCGTGGAAAACAAAAACTGAGAGCACCAACATGGTGCGAACCCGGTCGAATAGCCGGTGCAGCAACAACAACAACAGTTGTAATGACGTGGAGATGGCCGATGACCATCTCCATGAGCGGGACAATAACCGAGGAGGTGG